AATTGGAAGACACTTGGAAGACCATGGCCGGCCTATCGAAGTCTGATTTGAAGGACAAACAATTCTCGATTTTGAGGAAATGTAGAACGCGAAGTTTGACTGCTTAATATTAGAGATGTTTATTAAGGAGCTAAAACCTGGGCTAAATACCCAGAAGGACTCCGTTCATGCTAAACTGTTTACGTGACACTGCGTGCAAATATTTCTCGCATTTAATAGTGTTTTATATAAGTCTCTAAGGATTTGTTTTGTACATTTATATTCAAATAACGTTGTCTTACTCATGTTGACTTGAAAATTACGTTGAGTAAACGTCGAAACGTCGTCGCTTTTTAGAGCTTTTCACAGTTTTTAGAGTTTTTAACCGTAACGGTTTTAACTTTTGTCTCATCGCAATGTTTTATAGTTAAATTATTGACAAAGCCTATTCTTTTAGGTTTTTCTATATTTTAAAAATACTATTTTTCAGTATCTTAAATTTAAGAGATCTTGTTTTGTTACGGCAGTAAACGTCACCTTGGTTGTCTTCAATGTAAAGCATACGATTGGTTATCGTTCTCCATTGTTCAGACTTGTTCACAAGCAGTTAGCCAAGAATATCCATTTTTATTATTTTTTTTTTTTGGCCTCAGCGGCTAATCCATGTGTTCTTACATGCTTTATCCTGTCCTAATGTGCAGCCCATGCATCAACAGACCGTCAGCGACGCTGGGGGATTCCCCCAGGGAAAGGTGACCATGGAAACACATTATTTGATTGGTTAGATTCTTGAACTAACATCTTCACCAATTCAACGACCGTTTACTTCCCGAAACTATCCACTAATTGATCGCTAACCAAGCCGTTCCATTACAGCACCAACATCACCTCAGATTTTAACAAAAAGGAATTTGTGAAAGACAGAAGTATGATTTTTATACCTAACCGTACCTTTTTGGTACACTTCGGAAGCATATCAGCCGAGTTTGGTCAAGCCAAAATACCCATGGCGAGACCAGACGAGCATAAAATAACAGTTATTCAATAAAGGGTTTCACTACTAACCTAATCTCTTAAAAAACAGCAATGAAATAAACATTTGTTTAAAAAGGAAAAAAATGTCACTTGTAGACCAACTGACCTCTAAAAGGAATGATTCAACAAATAGCACTTTTGTTGTAATGACTTTATTGTAGCTTTACAACAAACTTCTTTATCTGCTCTATGAGGTCTGTTGTAACTTAACAATTCCAAACACAAAATAAAATAACACAGATGTATCAGAATTAAAATACATTCTTCAGTAGCGATATTAACACTAAACAACTTTACAACACCCAAAAAATATGTTTAAGTTATTTGTCTAATTGAAGACTAGTTTTGTCTTAAACTGAGCTTCAACTATCAATTAAACTTAATTGCAAAAAAAGTAAATTGTCCATTGATGATGATGATACAGCTGAAATGACAAAACCAAAATTCTTTGTCCGTGCTATTCCACCATGGAGCGATAATACACAAAAATGATAATATACAACATAAAAACGAACTGAGAGAATTCTGGTTTAACTTGTACTATATATATACATCATATATAACCTATTTTCCGTTGTACAGTAACTAAAAGTGTTTTTTCCCTATTAAAAGTAACTGAAATAAAACTTCCAGTTACATATTAACCCGGTTAACTGAAAAGTGAAAAATGAATTCTCTGAGAAACAAACAAACCAAGTGGTTTAAATATTACGTTAGCGTGCAACAAAAACGCCACTTTGGATTTAAAACAAATACCTTCGTATGGAAAAGATTTGCAGTAAGAAAAGGAAATGTTTTATCTCTTAGAAATTGAATGCACTACGTTTTGGGTTTCAACACATTTTACTTTTTCGTTCACGCATTGCTGAATAATTGCTTAGGAATATTAATAAATGTTGTAAAGTATACTTTCTATTGTTTGACGAACACAGCTATTGGACACGGGGAAATTCCGGTTACAGCCCCGCGGCTTTTGAGTTGGCTTATAACCGAGGCAACTAATTGCCCGAGGGGAAGGTAGCGGGCTTATAAGTGGACTAATAAGCAGGCTACATTGAAACTTATTGATTAGCTTTTTCAATTTGAATCAAAATGTTCTGTGGAGAAAATTGGCTTATACTCTGGGGTCTCGTAACCGGATTTTTTACTTAACCGACATGGGTCTATAACTAGAGGCCGGAAGGGAGCTTATAGCACGCGAATATTACCACGGAAATTTCAAGATAAATTTCACAATCACTTAAAAGGTCCTTGCTATCTCTCTCTCTCCATTGTGAGCAACAGATATATACATAACACAACAATTTAAACTGAACACTAACGAAGAGATAATACATATATATATATATATATATATATATATATATATATATATATATATATATATATATATATACTTTCTACACTGTATTACAAACGACAATTCTTCGCATGCTAAAATGTAGTGTAAATACAATACCCTGACGAATGTCGTTAACACAATTGTGTACAAACCAATTGTAAACTTCAGCACGCACTATTCCCACCAAATGGGTTTACTGTAATAGGATTTCTTATGAGAGAACCAAACATGAAGGAAACTTTCCTCTAAAATAGTAATTTTGTCCTACGGGAAAGATGATTGGACTTCCATTTTGAATATCCAAACATCAGCACTCCTGGCTATAGCTATTTTTCAGAGAGAAAATTGAAGTTTCCAATTTATTAAAAATTATTTCTGAAACGGAAATATTCTACCACTCAAGCAGGTGTTTTAGAAGTTCTTGGTTTTACTTTTCACTTGTTTTCTTCATCTGTTCAAAGGCCTGAAAAAATAAAAAAGCATCTATGCATATTACATTGGGCTAGTTTACAAAGTAGGTCCATTTTCATTACCTGCTGATAATTTTAAGAGATACAGAATAAATGTGATACCGAGTGTTGCGTCTATAATACAGGCAACAAATGCACCTCAGTCTGAAGATGATATAGAATTATATCGAAATATTACAAGTACATCAACGATTCCTTGCATTTGTTGCCTGTATATAGAGACAATGCATTTACTCGGTATCACATTTATTCTCTAGGTCCATTTTATTATACGGTATACTTTTTTTTCTTTGTCCTGACCGCTTAGCGACATTTTGACCTGTATATCAACTTTGTTTGTAATTTCTAAGTTTGAAGCTCTTAATAACAAGAGCTTTAAAAGACTTGAAACGCCACGCTCAACCGGTGAGAGTCTTGCATAGTTGCATTCTTGTTGTTTTGATCACCATCGTGGCAAAAAACGCACGTGAAACTTTCAAGAGAATAACTATCAGATTTCGTCCCTGAAACTTAACTTAGGTTGTGTTCACACTTGGTTCGCAAGCACGGTGCATGAGTGCGATTCTCGCTGGACACTAATGTGAACACACCTTTTTTCCACGCGTTTACACCAGAATTCAACTGCAGTGCCCGTGCTCGGGTACAAGGTCTCGACCTTGTACTTGGACTCTTAATAGTACTTGGTACTTAGAGTACCCAGTGTCTGAGCGCAACACTGTTTGGTGCCGGTGCCCAGGCATCAGTGCTTTGGCACCAAGTGTGAACACAGCCTAATCCAGTAGATTATAATTCATTTCCAACAACAGCACATTCAGACAGGTCCTTTCTGCATATAATAATAAAAATGGGGCAAATGATGTGCAGTACAAACTGCACCGTTAAGTCGGGTCCGCTTTAAAGTGTCAACTCCGAGTTTCTGATTAAAGGTATTAGAAATTTGTTATGTTTAGAAAACTCACCTGCTCCTTATTGGTCAAGGGTCTAATCTGTCTCTGGATAATTTTACACATCGTAAAACATTTTTCAGTTTTCCTACTGGTTTTAATAAGCCGCAAGAGTAAATAGAAGAATTGCGTTAGGGTTCCTGAGAATGCGTCAGGAAGACTGAAGGTGTTGGGATTACTGCGTTCATTGTACTGTAGGGAACTACACAATTCCACTTCCTACCTTAATCTGCGATAATACGCTTCCTTTCTGTGCAAGTTCCTTTTCAGTTTCCGAAGACGCCGTTGAGGAAACAACCTTAGGTGCTGGGATGTCGACCGATCCAAGCTTACACTCCCTGCTATTTCTTCGTAAAAAAGGCTTGTTCGGGTTTTGCCATGAGCTCTTTTCAGGAGTCTTTTGGTACCTTAACTCCATCACTTTCAGATTTTTTGTTTCATTCTCAATTTCCAACAGTCTTTTCTTGGCTTTTGCCAATTCATACTGGGACTCGTGGAATTCTGCATCAGCATCTGCCGTAGCTTTTGACCTGGTGGTGGACAAATTGAAGAATATTTTTCTGTCCTTAGCAACTGTAATCCTCTTTTTCAGGCTTTCCATCTTCTTCAAAAGCTCTTCTTTCTCTTTCAGCAAGGCCTCCATTTTCTCGGGATAACTTACATTCTCATTAGTTTTTGTAATACGAGGGTCTTCGAAATTCAGTCTGCTTAGAGCGACTAATGAAGGTCTGTTTTCTTTCACGCTTTGGCCACCCTCCTTCTTGAGCTGTTTGGCATAGCTTTGAAAAGCTTGTTCCGTCTTGTTCAACATTTCCCTTTCCTTGTCAGCCTCTGTAGAAGAAATTTACTTCACTTTAGGCCCCGTCCACACAGAGAAATTTGAAAACGCAGCTTTATTTCTACGTTTAGGCCTACCGCCCACACTAATCCGTCACGAAAACGGAGCTTTTCGAAAACGCTGTTCAAACCGGAGGAATTTGGAAACGCCCGAGTTTTTCTCAAACACAAATCCAAAATGACTGGTGATTGTTGCTTTTTCATATTTCTCCGTAGTGTAGACGGAAAACATTTGATGCGTTTTCAGAGTGAAAACGTCGTTTTCAAACTTCTCCAACGCAGTGTGGATGGGGCCTTAGTTTGAAAATTCTCCATCATATTTCATCTAGTACTTTTAACTCCAAGTTAAACGTACTTGTAATGTATGATAGAAGGCAAATAAAGAAATTGAAATTGAATTAAAGAAAACAAAATGTAACACGACTAAAAGCATCAGTCTTTACAAGCGCGTCAGCCCTCGCAATAAAAAAAGAAACTTCATCAAGTTTTGAGCAAGGTATGTAAAAATACGTGTTTCACTGGCACAGTGCAAACTTTGGAGTTTCCTAACAAAGTGTTGTTGTTGTTACTTGTTTGTTTTGAACAAAATGCGAGCAACAAAATAAATTTTGTAACAACTTATAAGGAAACTTGTGTAATCAAGAATTAACTTGTCCAACAAACTAAGATTTGTTAGGCATCAAAAGGTCTTTATCTAACTGCTAGTGTGAAACAGAACACGTTTTCCTTAGCATCTAACATAAACGGTAAACAAGAAGTAAAAAGTACTGTGCAGTCAAAACTAACAAATTTTAAGTGCAATAACAGAGGATAAGAAGAAACATGAGAATGCAAAAAAGCATTTCTTCAACAAAAACGATGAAGTATTACTTTATAAGTATACCAAACATGCATAATGAAAAGCCGAAAGATAAAATAACATTGCTGTGACAGAACTCATGACAAAGACAATGAAGGCTCTATAAAGTTGATATTTTTGTTTACTCGTCTTTAATTTCTATCGAAGTTTATCAAATTTAGATGTAACTTTTACATTATTGTAATTGTAATTACCCGGCAAAAAAAATACACATTGCTTACCTGATCCTGAATCCTTTCGTGGTCGTGTATCGATGTCCCTTCTCTCCACGATAACTTCTTTCTTAGTTATCAGCACAGTCTCCTTTTTAACCTTTGTTACACTGTTTATCTTTTGCTCAGCCTTCGACTCACTTTGTTGATTGTTTTCATATAAATTCTTCTTAACCAAGATGGTTTGTGATACCTCATGTCTCCCAACCTTAAAACGGAGCAAAACAAGAATGGATGACGTTAAATTCCAAAACAAAACATTAAAACAACGTATTCTTACTAAACAAACACTTCATTGCTTACAATAAAATAACGGCGCTTATAATTCATAGACACAGACATAGTATTGTTACGCTGAAAAAAGTTCCTATAATAATTCACTAAAAGTATCTTCTAGGATTGCTTTCTAGAAAGAGGCTCTTAATATACATGAACAAGTTGAGGTACAGGATAACGGTAAACCTTATCTCACGTTTTCAATATTTAAAAATAAATGACACTTCAAATAAGGTAACACAAGCATCTTGTCAGTTGTGACACAGGTGTTAATGGATTTGGCGCGCGTGTTGATCCAAGAGAGTAGTTTCCATGATCTAAATCTCCAGTTGCCTGTTGGATCAAGGCGACTATAAAACTTAATGGTCCAGCGAGTAAATAGGTTAGGTTTTACCAGTGGGGTGGCCTGTGACCCAGCTTGCTATTCCACTTACTAGCCAGTAAAACATTTTAATCTCTAAAAAAATTGTTTCGCGAAATCATTTTCAGGTGTGTTGGTATTAAATGGCTGTAAATGAATACAGGCCAAGCTCACTTTCTAATTATTAGGAAAATAAACTATTAACTAATTAACAGCTACAAAATGTAAGGCTAATTAAAGATTGATTCACACATCACACATACAAACGTCCTTTTATCATTTTACGCCATAAATGAGTAATTGCGTACACACAGATTATAACCGTACATGTGTGCAGTTTTAAAAGTTCCTTACATGTACTTAGTGATTTAAATTTGATTTTGCATTGACATTTAATTTCCAAATTGATTTTTATCTTCTTTTGTTCAGTTATATTCATTATCATCATTACCTGAAACAACTTCATGAAGATAAAACATTTTAATAAATGCAATGTTTCAAACCAAAAACAAATAATTTCATTAACTACAACAACTACATTTGATTTCTATTCTTTCAACAGTATTCTGTATTTACTATTAATAAAGCAAGTCTAGCTGTTAATTTTAAAAGCTATCAGTGCATGTACATTTGTTGTGTATTCATCATGTCAAAATTTCGCACGTTACTTGTAATTGTTGTAGTTTATGAATAAATGCTTTCTTACTGGTTGAGAAGCTTCCTCTCCTCTCCGAAGTGCGTCTATTTTCTGTTGAACTTTCAATTCAACTTCTTTTTCCTCGTTGCTGGGCTCTCTAACAAGCTGAAGGTACTCTTCAGGTTCCTCTTCAGGCTCCTCTTCGTCATTTATGCCACCATTTTGGACAACAACCTCCTGCTCTTTTGTTTTCTTTTCATCATCTCCATTCAACAGATATTCTGCAGACGACTGTCGGTCAACATAGCTGACCTGCTCAACTTCATCTTCACTCTGGTTTTCTGTAAGAGAGGTTGGAGTATTTTGCCTGTCAAATGTTTTCTTTTTTCCTGTTTTGGTGAGGGTGTCAGCAAGTTTGTGGATTCCAGCAGTCAGTTTGGAACCTACAAAAAAAAATACAAACTGTTGTGAGCTTGTTTCCTACATCAAATATGTTCCCAATACACGTTCTTGCAACGGATATGCTATTACTGTAAAAAAAATGTTTCTTCAAATTAAAGAGGGCTGAGGGCAATATCATTTATTAATTCAGACTACAAATTTGAAACATTAAAGAGAGAGCAACACTGATTTTCTTTGCAATACAAGTCAAACAGACAGCTGTTGGCCATCAAATTAAACAGATTTATCAACTTAGAGCTTGACATACATGTACCTCCACATTCTCAGAGAACAACAACTATATTACATGTAAGTAAAGAAATTTACAGGCATATTTCGACCTTGGAAGGGCTGTCATTAAGTTTTGAGTCACCTGTAACTAATGTTCTCCACACCCATAGCAAACATGTTAGTAAATTATATCAACAACACTGAGGCAATCTCACCCGTAACGGGTGTAGCATCAAGGGAAAATCAACCATGCTGGGCCGTAACAGGTGTTACGGGTTACAGCCCTTAATGACAGCCCTGCTTGGGACTACAGTAATACAGTGAATTGATTTACCTACATCCTAAAGATACAAAAATTGCAGAAATCCAGAGAGAAAGAAATTGTTTGCTCTTTTAAAATAAACATCAGTTACTTACCAGCTTCTCCTTTGTAGACCTCAGCACGTAATGCTATATGGTTGTGCCATGACTGCGGCTTAATTCTCAAGTAATGAGCATTCACAGCCATCTTTAGAATGTTAGTCACTACCGTGTCGGGATCATGATTACCCTGGAAAACCTGCAACCAGAAACAGTTTATGTACAGCATGAACAAATGCCATGAAAAGGCACATAGAGAGTTCCTAATATGCCAACTGCAAGCTAACTTAGGTTAACCAGAGTGCTATTTAGACTAAGCAGAGTGTTAGTTACAGTAATAGGATTGTTATTCAGGCTAACTAGCTAACCAGCAAGCAAGCCATGCAAGCCAGTAATCCATTCTGGCTCCAAGGCTAACCTCAAGCTAACTAAGTCAAACTCTTTTTGAGGGGGGGGGGGACCAGCTATTTAGGCTAACAAGTTACTATTAAGCTAGCTAGACTGTTAGTTAAGATAACCAGAATGGCTTGCATGCTGGCTCCCATGACTCGCTGGCTTGCAGTTTGTACAGACCCCTTTTAAGGGGAATAGCTTAGCTAAATAAATTATTTTGGTTTGGAGAAAGTAAGAAAATAAATAAAAACTAAACTTAGTCTTGATCTTAACACAAGTCAAACAAATATCATAGCTAATCCTCAAACACAATATCATCAGGAACTCTTTGTAAAGATATTGACTTTCAGAATATCTTAACTTTCCTTTAAAAAAATAACTAGTTTAAAAATATTAACTACTTGAAAAAGAAATTACGTCATTTAAAAAAAATAGCTGGGAGAAAATCAACTAGTTGCAACTGAAAATTTTACTCAGATAAAAAATTAACTATAACATCCAGTACAAAGATCCTCTAAGAACCATGCAAAAGTTCAACAGGTTGAAAAAGTAAACCTATGTACCGGTTCCAGTTGCCTCTAATAAACTCTAAGATGATTCCAAACTCATGTACAGAGTACACAATGTCCATTAAGACTAACGTACACTAAGTCTTACAATTATATTACAAGACAAGTACAATGTTATCTGTTGACATGGCATATACTGTAGACAGTGAATTATCTTCTGGCACTTCAGATCTATGTTTACTACTGAGCCCCACAAAGCTAAACCAGTTAATGAAAACAATTAAGTTAACAAAAAAAAATTTACCTTGGCTATCCCAAATTCTTTATAATTTGCCCAGTTTTCACCATCCTTGCTGTAAGCAAGTGTGTAAGTCTTCACAAACCAACCTCCTTGGTCTGTGAATCCTGGTCTTCCTTGTGACGCCACTCCACATACCTTAGTTACCTCACCTGAAGACAAGGCAGATACATGGAATTACATGACTTGTACATCCACAACGAATCTGTAGAATGGTTGTTAACTGAGCGTCACAACCAAAGTAATCAGTCTGGTAAATCACAAAGGGCACACGAAATCCAGTGAGCCAGCCAAAAAACATAGCAAATATATCTAGAGCCCATTTGAAGTGTGGGAAAATGTTTGCACACAAGTCACGACTAATTTTGGTCGTACTTCTCACTGCATGATAAAGAAGTGAGACTTTTTAAACTTGAGAGCAGTAGTGTGTGACCAAAGTAAATGCATATTTCTGTTGATTCTCAGGTGAAAGCTACAGTCTACAATAACTTCCTCCTAAAGCTAACGTGCAGGCGTGAAGAGGGTAGATGTAGAGCAGTGTTACAGGTAAGGATGGCACGCAGAGATGAGAGAGATACTGAATGGGGATACTATTTAGCCCATTCCAAAGAAGAGCAAACCAGACTCAAAATCACAACTTGTGGTTCTACATGCATGTTCAGAAGAGCTACATGTAAAATATCCTTCCAACACTCTCATTATTGCTGATTTGTAGCAGTCAGTCAAACCTTCTTGTTAAGAAATGTTATTGTTTTCTGTCTCACTTTTCATGACTGATGTCATTAATTAAAGACATCTTTCTGATCTTTACTGATGGCTGGGCAAAACGAAATAATATATAGTTCACTACACTATTACCTAAGTCAATTTGGAGATACTGGTGTTTGTCATTGACTTTTGCGCACCAAACTCCATCTGATAAATTAAGCCTTCCAGCAGAAGGCTTTGAGGAAGTGTCCATAAATGATGATGCTGTGATAGCACTGTCCTCTATGGTGCCATCTGATACACCAGCAGGCATGGGACCTACAGAAAGAATATTGCATCCACGGTTTTTTTAGATTTACTGAGTACCATGATAAGATTATTATAGCCACCACTATAACTATGCAATGTGCCGTTGTTTACAAATGTTATCTCCCACTTGTAAATAAAGTATACTGCAAATCAAGGTAAATGCTTAATAATTATGTTAGTGCGGGAAGCATGGTGGTTTAACAGTTAGCACGCTGGACTGCAGATCAAATGGTCCAGGTTTGAGCCCTGGCCACGCTCACTGCATTGTGTTCTTGGACAAGATAATTTACTCTCACAGTGCCTCTCTAAACCCAGGTGAATATCATATAATGCTGGGGAGCCTGAGTAACCCTATGATACGCTGGGTAGTCATTAAGTTTTGAGTCAAACATTGCCTTGGTCTTCACACCCATAACAAACTTGTTGCTTTGTGGCTGAATTATATCAAAAATAGGCAAGTTCAACCGTAACATCAAGGGCTCACCAAGGAGACTCACCCGTAACAGGTGTTACAGGTTACGGCCCTTAATGACAGCCCTGATATGCTACCATCTAATCTAGGGGGAGTACAAAGACTCCCAAACTGCACTAAGCTCTGGTCGTCTGGACCACTTGGCCCAATGCAATGTGTCATTTAATTATTCTAGATATATAACTGTACAAATTGATTAACCACATGTAGATAAAAACTGACCTTTGCTTGCTTTATCGGTGGGCTTGTTCTGAACACCAGCAGAGGTGCTGTCCAATTTGCTAGTAGTACTAACCCCGTCCCATTTGATTACTTTGTCGGCATGCGCCACTGAGCTTGATACCTCCTCATAAATCTCTTCACTCTCCATTAAATTATCACCATTCTCACTGTCTGCTTCCCCCTTTGTTCCTTCCGGACTTCTTGGAGGTGGCAGTTCAGGTGGAACCGGGGGGAGAGGCCCCAAATCTAGCTGACTTGACGATGGAGATGCTGGTTTAAAATTCTCAGCCGTAGTAGCAGTTGAAGGAACAACCTCCATGTAAAAATCTTCCTCTTCTGCTTCATCCATGCTTTGATTGTTACTTCCTGAGTGAATTTGTAAACTAGGTTTCTCTGTTGCACTGGATGTCATCTCTAAACCTGGAGAAACTACAGGAGTAACATAATCATCTTCATCGTCTTGCTCGAAAACTCCTGAACTTGTATCTGTTGGTGATACAGCAAGTTTAATGAAACCAGATTCTATGAGGAAAGCTTTTTTCCAACGTTCCCAGTCTTTTGCACTCTTAGCAAGGAGAGTAAACTGTGTCAATCCATCTCTAAGTACATGAATGGCAAGCTTGCTTCTTTCTTCTTCTCCAGCTTTAATTTCACATCCGTCCAAGTCAACTGTTATATCAGGGTCATCATCTTTAATTGTTTTATAACAATGCAGCTTCTTTTCTCTGATCAAGAACCACCGTTTAGCAGTCTCATTTGCCTTGTACGCATACCCTGCCAAGGCAACCCCATCCTGGGGACTGGAGAAGAGCTTGTCCTTCTTTGCTTTTTTCTTAAGCCAATGAAAGAACTGTTTCTTCTTTTTAGCTTTCTGTTGTACTGGCTGTGACTGAGGGCTTGGTGGAACACCACCCTCATCTGAAGAGCCTGAATCAAATTCATCCGTAGCGAAGCCATCATCTTGAAATTCTTCGCCTGAAGCCTTTAAGTTTGCTACTGCTTCGTAAACATCATCACCAAACTGCCCTCCATCAACTTCATCTGGTCTTCTTGGCAGTGCAGGAAACGGTTTTTTGTCAGGTCCATTTTCCAAAGGCTCTGCATTCACATAACTTACCGTATGATTGTCTTCACTCTGTAAAAACAAGCAAAGTATGTTCATATAAATCTAACTAGGGGAACACAAATGTAAATGCTACTTGCTTGACCATTCATCTCCATTACAATGTAAATGCTGTGTTATTAGTTATTTCTACAGGCCGTTCAATAATTTCAAAACAAACTGGAATGTAGGAATTAAAATGCAAGACAATACACAAATATAATACACATCGACAAATGAGTTAAAATTAATGTGGAACATGAAGTAGCTGAACAAATACATTTGAAACATAACATAAGTACAGATACAATTTCTGATAGCTTATACACAACAAGATTAATCTGCGATGTCATTATAAAACCAGTTTGAGACTTAGATTAAGAAAATTGAATTACATCTTAATGATATCACAAGATCTGCATTTAAAGTTGTCTCTTTCAGTTCAATAAAGCAGATACAGTACAAGGAAAAACTGGTTCCTTACAAAACAACAAACTTCTTTCCACCATGCACGCACCATCTTCTTTTCTCTAAAATACTTATAACAATGGCAATAATATTACAAAAATACTGAATTTTGGTGACAGTAGTCTCACCACCAAAGCATATCTCATATATCCTATCAAAAATATTTCAAAATATCACTTCAAGCTCTAGGAGTGAGTAAATTCAATTAATGCACATACACGTAGGCTGATAATGAACCTATGGAAATAGGCAACAAATTTTGTGAGACCAGCCATTCCTGAAGACAGCACTCAACCTTTCAAATGTTATGTAAAGAAGCAAACAATCATCTATCGAATTCCTCCTTAAGACATCAACATTTTTCACCTTCCAAAGTGTGACATTTGCATGTAATTTACCCCAATATAGAAATTTGATATTGGAATCATTCTAATTACGATAGCATTTCTCCAGACATGTGGCTGGACGCTGTGGCAACGCAATGATTCTTGGAATCAGTAAATCTTATGAACTAAATGCGCTTCCGTTATTTTTGGTTTGTGGGCACACCTTCACACCTTTATCCCAAAATATTAGGACCATCTTGTTGGTTTGTGCTACAGATGTAATAGATGCTTGTTATTGTTAGTTCTGTACACACAATGAAAATCAGTGGTTAAATCAACAAAAGGTTTTGAACCATTCAAGACATACATGTATAACAATGTTGCACTGGAGGTACTAAATATTGCATTCTTGGCTCAGTATCTGTCACTTAACAACTAAGGAGAGGTTTAACCAATATCAGTTCCTTCTGTACATTCACCTCCACTCATCTTAGGTGTCATTTTGATGATATTATTGCATACTGTTAACTTATTAATGATCTTTACATTATGTAACATGTCCAACCAGATGGACTGGCCTATCAAGTTCAAACTGGTAAGTGACTTCAAAACTGCTCACGACAGTAAAAAAGTTTAACAGTGACAGTAGATAAATTGTTTCATGTAGGTGAAATCAAGGAATCACAAATCAGCTATCAATGTTAACCCCGAGGCAGGAGGGGGGGGCCCAAGGCATATGCAGGGCATTTGACTTAATTGCCTTCCCCACCGGTGGGAATTTGACTAAGAGTCTGGGCCCTAGGTTGAGGACATTGGATTTTTTTTTGCGAAGAGGAATGGAACTACATGTATATCTCTGTCCCACCTTCTTAAGATAGTTTTTGTGGAGAAGAACATGGGTGTAATTTTGGAGGTAAGAACTTGTTTTGAACAAATAAAACAACTACTTCTCACTATTCACTTTCAGTATAAATTGACAGAACAACTCACTTTATGGAGATTGCGCTAAGGTGGGGATATTATTTTGATCTACGTTTACCAATTTTGGGGCCCTACAGTAAAAATTCTTCTGAAATTCAAATCCCTCACATCCCTCCCCTCGGGCTTAACATTGCATGTATGATAGATGCATTAAAGATGATAAAAAGAGGGATTTAAAGTTTTAAAGAGGGCTATGACTTTCAGTTTGAAATCACTTAAAGGCAACAGCTTAAAACTTCCTTCTTAAAATATCTTTCAAAGTTAATTGTCATGCGTGATATTTTTCTTCATTTTGGTCTAAAAAACAAAACCCAGAGTTGCAGTTCTCTTACTTAATAACTCACAGCTTTATTTAAGAGGAGCTAAACACTGCCCTTTAAGAATTATTGAACAGTTAAGAAAAGAAGAGTTAAATTCAATTTAAATCATCATTAGTAATCCTGGTTATATCAAAGATTTACTTGATGTATACAGTTAGTTCCCTTTACCTTATTTAACCCAGAAGAATCCTTGTGCAACTGAGAAGAATCAGGTTTAACTTCTGATTTTAAAGGGTATAGGGGAGATTGTTCTTCATCATCAACAGGCTCTTCTTCTTCCTCCACAATTGAGTGCATAAGAGGTGCTTGTGGAACAACAGAGAATTGTTTTTCACTTGAATTTGTAGCCTGAGAAGATGAGTGTTTACCAGCAGATGCTGCTATTGTGAGAACTTTCATCCACTCTTTAAGTTCATCATTATTAGAAGCCACAAAAACCCAGGGTGCCATGCCAGACTGCGTGAGTCTGAACACAGGAGTGCGCAAAAGTCGGTCATCCAGTGAGATCTGACAACAAGGCATGATGAGAACATCATATGCCACTTCATCTGGATCTTGTGAAGGAAATATGCACAGGTGTTGATCAATAAGAACACACCACCAGAGTTTTTCACTGTGCTTTTCTTTAAGGAGTCCTGCAAAATCTGGCTCTGTCAAGTCCTCAAGGGAAATGTCAAACAAAGCCGCACTGTCTCTCTTGCGACTCTTTCGTTTATTGACAGGAGAATGATTAGAAGCGTTTAGTTCAGTTGGTGTATTTACGCCTAAGTTATTGCAACTGTCATCATTGTTATTGTCTGATTCATCTTCCTCTTCTTCAATTGGATGGTAAATAACAAGTTCACGTAAATCGTTTAGGTTTATTTCCTCGCGATCCACATAACAACCCTGTTTATGTTAGAAGTTACAAGAAAGAAGAGTAAGACATGTTAATAAGGTCAAGTTTTGAAATTTAGGAAGGAATTAATATCATGGTAAGAGCACAGTACAGTCATAAGTTTGGTTTGTTAAGTTTTTGTTTATTTCATGTCAATGTTTAGCTACTAGTTAATAAGATATATGAACAAAACACTTACCAATGCTGAACCATTGGAAGTCAAAACTTTTAGAATTTACTGGCATATACATCATGTAATATTACAAGATGTATATATGTATTTGAAATGTACTGCTGACCATTGATTAGCATTGAATTTTTGCTGGTTGGAGTACAAGTCAGAACTTTCTTCAATGCCCAAGGCTATTATTTTTAATTATTTAATTTATTCGTGAATACACTGGTTCCCAATGCGGTAACTTTCATTAGTCGTCAAAACAATAATTTTATTAGCCACAGGAACAAAAGTTAAGGAACTGAGGTTAACGTCTTGTAAAATTGGAGGTTAGCTAACGTACATGGTTTCATTTAACATCATTATGTTATGTATAATTTTTTTAGAATAATTAGATCACAAATTATAAGAAAAATTTAAGGCAATTGTTTATAAAATAAGTTCCTTTGTTTCACTCAACTTTTACATTGACTGTTGTTAAACAGTTCAGTCTGAACAGTTTCCTGTTCCCCTGATTTCAAGGGGTTTTCCAGTAGTGTTTTAATGGACTGGTTAAACCTCATTAGCACATTATATATAATTAGGCAATTCTATTATCAAGAAACTATGAAGCGTGGGCAGATCATAAAATTGTGATCTAATTTTCATTGATATTCAAAAGCTAATGGACCACTGCACATTAATCAGTAGTTTTTATTGTGATTGATCCCGAAAGAACAAGAAAGACAATGACCTGTTTGAAAATTAAAAGGTACAGTAATCAAAGATGGCCATTTTAGTAACTGAAATAATAATTATTATATCTGTTCAATGACAATATAATAACATGTACAATACAATAGTTTAACCACCAACATATTTCCACAAACATTTGGCCCTACAATGTTTCAAACAGATCAAAGTAAAAACAAAATAGACATGCAAACCTTTTTTGTTCTGCTTGCTTGCCAGGTTTCTGAATTCTCAGACTGGCCACAACTGGACATGTCTGGAAGAGATTCACTGCGGGGAATCCCCTCTTCACTGATACCATTGAACTCATTGGTTTCATTTAGCGACTGGCTTGAAAGTGACAGTCCAGCATTGAGAAGGCTGCCATCCTTAAGATTATTGTTCTTCATGTTGTTCAAAGAATTATTCATTCCTTCCACAAGGGTGATACATTCTTTTCTATGAGTGTCAGCCTCACAGCTGAGAGATTCCTTCAGCAAAATGTTTTGAAGGAAAATACTCAATTTAGAAAGTCCTGTCTGAAATTCTGTGGAGTAGAAAGCAGTAACACTGAATCAGGTGAAATACATATTTACATACTAGAGTAACTATGTGTGGATAGTACAGTATGTACATGTAACATGCTTATCAGCAGGAAATTAAGGGTGCTTACAAATACTGTTGAACCCTGCCTTACTGCCACCCTGTTAATGTGGTCACCTTGTTGTTGTGGCTCATCGGTGACCAGATTAACGGGGTTCTACTGTATAGCATTTAGCCACCTATTTTGGAAATGATGAACACAAAATTTTCCACAACTGCTTTGCAAACTTTTCCACAACTGTTTTGCAAAATTGTGGTCAATTACCTCCTGCTGCAGAGATCTATATCCTGGCTGGAAAAATTACCAAACATACCATGTTTACTCAAATAAGTGCCACCCTCCAATAAGCAATGCATTTGGGATAAAAAAGTTGATAAGCACTGCCTCCAAATAAGCACCTGGCTCTAAAAATCCAATACAAAGCAAGTCTAACACAGCACTGGAAATATATTTTCACCAAAAGTGACTTCAGTTCAAAATGATTATATTTCACTGTTTGCCCATTAAGTTCTTTGTTTAAAGTTCTTGCAATACATAGTTCTGTTGTGAACATGAGGAGCTTTAGTCAAATTAGAGTCCAAAAAACTTCACCGCAGGGATGATTACAAAATTGTTTGGTTGCGTCAATCATTACTTAGATATGAGATAATTATATTGACACTTGCACTCAAAGGTGTTTTCTCAAAATGACATTTTCTGTTTCATGTTTTAGACATTCAAGTCTTTATACATCATGTCAAATAAACAGAGGCCTGCTAGATTAAATTGATATAGAAAAACTGCGTAACGACATCTGTAACCAATTAGCGGTCTCTAACGAAATTTCAAACACTAAACATTGTGGCTGGATAAGGCTCTCTTTAACACTAAAACTAGAACCAGGACTGAGATTTCAGAAATTCTCAGCGTGTCCACACTGTTTAGAAACCGAACCGGCCACTCATACAATTTCAATACTGACAATTACACCTGCAGTCTCCCTAAGAACATCAATAAGTTAAACACCATTTGCTACTTTTGCATGTATTTCTGCCTTGTTTGTTCCTATATCCCTTATACTAAATGTATTACTAACAGTGGAAAGGACAATCTGTACATTATGTATTAAGTGGTTTGCCAATCAAATACACACTTCTCATTACAAAACATGAAACTTTCAATAATATTTCCTTTACCTGACTTACGCTGATTATATTCTTGATCAAAACAAGCATTCACCACTGTCTGTCACCAATGGATACAGAGGATATTACACGATAGTGTGAAGGTCTGAGTTAAACCTTAAATCTTCGAATCAGTGCTTCCCCTGAAATAAGCACCCCCTTCAAAAAGTGCCCCTCCTATCAGCCAAAATTTAAAGTAAGTGCCTCCCCTCTCCTGCTATAAGGAAGGAGTACTGAGATAACAGAGAATGTATAGTATTGGTCGTGTTTAATCACAAGCAAGTGATTATCGACTTATTCGAGCACTACACATTGACCGTCGCAATGGATGGTAGAGAAGTTCCGCTATTCATTGCCTGAAGCCTTGCCAACCTGGCGCAGCAGGTCTAGACCAGCTAATTAAAGGGGTTATATATTACATAGTTGTTCGAGACAGACAGGATCCGTCTGAGACTAATCTGAGGAACTGACACACAATTATTACAAAAAAAGCTGTCCATATCTGACCACAATTTTGGAAAAATTAAATAAGCAGCCCCCTAGATTAAGTGCCTCCCTCAAATAAGCGCCCCCTGTCTTGTCCTAAATTTGAAATAAGCGCTTTGCAGGGCTCTCATTCAGGTATTTACAATATTTTCCAGTGGAAAAAATGGGTGCAGCAAGTGAGTAAAATAACATCATCAATACCCCCACTGGTGAGGATATGGAAAATTCACTATTCGCATCCCAGATGTTCAGCTTCATGACACTGATTACTTGCTGTGTTATTGGTATTTTATAGTGAACGAGTGTAGTTGAATCATATTTTTACAACCTCCCTTAAAACAGACTTAATCTTAAAAAATAAAGGAATATTACAATTAGCAATAACTAGTATAAATGTTAAAATGGGTCTTACGTGATTTTCTAAGAGCTAATACACCCAATATATTTTTAATTTTTTGCACCTAGCAAAAGATAATATATATATGAAAAAAATATACGGTACTTTGTTTTGGTTAAACTGTAAACCATTAGCTTTTTAGCAGACATAAAATTCATTTATTTATCATGAGAAAGTATAGAAACAATACTGCTTAAGATGTTAACAAACATTCTTAATAGTCCACATTCAAAAGATATACATGCACTGACATATCTGCATGCAGCACGTGTTGAAACACCTTAACAGGGCAATAACGTTTTAAGGAATTAGCATACAGCTGAATTTCCCTTTTAAGTTAGAAATATGGCATATTATATAGTTGTTAACATGAAACAAATAAACAGACTTATTGTAACCATACAGCAAATTTGTTACAAGCCTGAAATCTACTTATACATGTGTCCCTCAGGAAACAATACCTTTTACTCATAAAGAAATGCTGGTAGCCATGTAGCCATCTTGCATCTTACATAAATGGGAGTAGAACTATACTTGCAAACACATTTATTATTTATTATTTCTATTTCTACACCTTAAGAAAAGGGATTGAAATGTTGATAGCCTTGAATGATTAAAGAGCCGTATGATTGAAATCAATTGTTAACTTGGGAATTTCACAAAATAACAGTTATGTTTTCAAATAACTAAAATGAAAAAGAATCTGAAACATGTTTGTTAAATAAATATTAAGAAAGAACAGTATCTGCTGGTCATTATTTCAAGAGAAATATTCACAGATAATTTAATGAGAAATGCTGATGCTAGTCATAATAATAAGATAAAGAAGTAAATATACAGGTTCCTGTGAATTTTAATTGTAAACAGAAGCTAAATCCCCTAAAACATAATAAATACAAATAAAATACATGTATGCATCCCAAGTTCCCAAACCAATTGAAATGAACTGATTTCATGTAAGGTGTTAGAAATTATTATAATTATGGTCCACAAATATTTCCAAAAAACTGGTCATCAATGAGGTATGTTCTAAAAATAGTAAGCAAACCTGAATATGATTCCCACAAAACTGAAATATGTAAGAGCAAGCATGTGACCACAATAATGATATTTTATGATGCTGTTTGATCAACATTCTTTCTTGATGCCTAACTTGTCATTTCAAATCACAAAAATTTAATTTGCACTTTTTCGCCATTGTTCAGTAAGCTACAAGGCAAAGTTTTCATCTGGGAATTTTAATTATAATTGACCCATAAAACTTGGACAAGTAAATAATATTTTGAATGACTTGTGTTTTCAGAAGACAAATGGAACTCATAAAACAAACAACAAGGCATGCATGTGTTTGAGCAAAAAACTTATTACATTTACTATTTACTGCTTAACTGGTTGCTAAGAGACAGAGCACAACAACCTTTAAATTCACACCTGCGCATTTCTCATACTGCACAATTGATATTCTAATGAGCTTGAGAACTATTTGCTGTTTGAAAACCAATATTTCTCAAAATACTGGTAGTCAATATTTTTTTCTTTACTGCATTAACAAATGCCCCTTTTTCAACACACTGTGCAGAGCTTTGCAGTATTTTATAATATGTATACAATGTTTATTTAAGAGTTTCAAAAAAGATAAATTTGCCTTAAAGCATTAGTCTGGTCTAGAAGATAACTGATCTAAGTTTCAAATTTGCATAATTTCCGCGTTCACCAGTTTATGTCCTCTAAGTTTGTAAAAACCTAACAAAAAAATGTCAAGAATTGTCACCCTATGTTTTAACTTTACTTTAAGAATAAAAAGAACTATTTACAAAAGTTTAAATACAAAAATTTGAGTGCCACTTCGTTTTCGTTTGGTCTCGACTGGTCCCATTTGCTATTTCCGCACATCGGCCTTTGAATTGATTTACTGGATGAATTGAACGAATAAAATCTTGTAATTACAGTTTGCATTTCGATATGACTACACATCCGACGACACTACATTGACAATACAGAAAATTACGCTTCTTCAAATAATATCCTTTTTTACGCTACAAAGATACGCATTTCATATTGCGGCCTTGAATGTTAAATAGACAAAAGAAAACTAAATCTGATAAAATATCTTCTTCAAATATTGATTCACAGTACTGCCGTATTCTTTCGTAACTTCATAAAATAATATTTTAGGCCTTAGGGAGTCTGTCGACTAATAAAGCAAAACTTTTCGCAGAATCAATTTAACATTTGTTTCAGCTGGCGTTTTTAGCGAAAAAAAAATGAAAGACGCTAGTCTGGCGAAGTGATGTGAAAAATTAAGACAAAGACGCTAATGAGAGTTTTTTTCAGCGTCCATGACAAGATTTCAAAAATACTACACCGTATATGTGATCCAGTCAGATTAAAATGTCGTTTAGACGAAATAAGGATCAGGTTTTCAGAATAAGACAGCTATAATGGGAGTAACTTACTATAAGCCGGTGATATGCAAATAAATCGGTACCATATTCAATACAAGCCAAGTAGACGAATATTATTATGTCTCTGAGCATAGAACAGCAGCATGTAAGCTATTGGAAGTAGAATAAATCACTCAGTGTTGTTCTGTGCATGTACGCGGGTGTCAACGACCAGACTGTGGGTTAAGTTCGGAAAGGGAAGCCTCTATTCTTCAACTGCGCGTTAATAAATGGTTGCTTTAGAACTAAACTGAAATAATTTCCTCGTTGGTGTTGACAACTCGATCATGTCAGTTTAATATCAACTGTAAAGTGAAACATTCAGTTTCAAATTTCCACGTGTGGAAAAAATCGAGAAAGCTGAGACGCATAGATCACACATCAAAATGTTGAAAGATAATTTAAAACAAGGGAAACTTTCGTTGTTCAAATTGCGTAGTTCACGCTGTTGAAAGTGTACGTAAAAGTGAATAAGTCCTTCGCTTCGGTTCAATAATATATAAACAACCGTTGTGAGTCCAGCACAATATTAATAAGTTTTGGCATCCTACTACTTCAAAGTTTGGTGCTTGAATGAAAACCCTGCTGGAAATCCTACAAATATTCGAGAGCCATGCACAAGCCAAGAAAAAACCTACTTAAAACCCAATGACTGTATTTAATTTTATAATGCTCAATCGAGCTCGCGTACAATGCTCCTTCACACTTCTAATTAAAAACCCTAAAATCGCGATCACAGGGAATGTTAGAGGTCGTGTCAACACACAGTGGAATACTTGCCAAATCCAATGGTTCACACATTAAGACGACAGCCCTTTTACAACTAGGATCACTTACCTACAAGTACCTCCGTAGATAGTTCAACCATGGTTGCAAACGTTTTTTCGACGACGACGGCTGCCGGCTGTTTAGGGTTGGCTGATTTTTAACAACACCAACATTGAAATATCGCGCCAGCCGCTTCGAAGTAATCAAGGACGACGTCCGAGTCGAAATCTCTCCGAAAATTCACCTTGTTCACAAATCCAGAGAACTAATTCACGAGCGCAGTTCATACACTTTAATAAGCGATCAGACAGATCAACTACACAGAGCAGAGCTGACTTCGTTTGGAGATGAGTCCCGAGTGATTTACAGCAGGGGTGTTACCTGTTCCATTAATTAACCCCGAAGAGAGTGGGCGACATTCTTGAGGGCTTACATTTTGTGTTTTGTCCAAAATGATTGGTCTTCAATGACATCTGATCTCACAAAACAAAATAACTGTCACACCACACTGAAAACATGACGTCATTGTCACTTAACGTGACAGTTTCCACTGAATTACTGAGACGATTCCGTGAATTTCCAACAAGAAAGTTTTATTATCGCGTGTGAAAAACTACTCAGAGAACTTGATAAGTAGCAATTATGTAAATGAAAACCTAACTTTCTCAAATAGCCGACTTCCCTGTAAACTTCGGGCCTCCTTATAAGGGAGGGTTTTGTTTATATGCGGTGAATCGGTACAAAGATAAACAACAAAACAGGAATTACGTTCTGGAGTCTTTCTTTGCGGAATGTTTGTTTGATCATCGCATTGCATTCCTTTTATTCAAAAGATTTGAGAGAACAAATCACAGTTTAAATCAAAAACGAGGAACTCGGTCTATTTAAAACCATTGCACAAGCCGGTAGATCTAATACTAAAATTTTCCTGAAAGGTAAATTACAACGTCTACGCCACCACGCGCTTGAGTAGTTGAGAGATTTTTTTCTGCTCTGAAACTTAATATCTGCACAATTCTGCTTGAAGTAGTTTGCAATGAGGATTATTTATCTGATCACACAATTGCTTAGCGCCAGATGCCGCAGGACTTCTTCAACATGGTCAGTAAGCCTTGTGTGTGTGTTGACCTGTGTTGCATTAATTTCATGGCAGTTGATTTAACCACCGATTAGCTATCATTAGCGCTTTGACCCCTTTTCGTCGGACCACCATATATTTGTCAGTCCAATCAATCAACATGAACATTTTTGGCATTTAATTTAAAACTATATGTATCAAGCTCACCACCCGTAAATTGCGCCAAGAATGTTTAGCACAGGAAAAGGAAATTGTTATATTTTTAACTTGGGATACTATGCCAACAACATGAAATTTAATAGCTATTGTTTATAATACCTACGTACAACATACTTGACGAAGTGCTTGACCTTTGACGTCACAAGATTCTAGCGAGTTAAAATAAGGTTACCCCAGCGTAATAACTACTGACCAGAGAACAGTGATGTTCAATACCAGTTGTTACAAAATGTATAAACTAGCAATTTGTAATGGCAAAATGAGCGGAAGAAGTCAACCAGCCACAAGTTTGGAAATGCCTGTGCTCAAACGGACATGATTTGCATTTCAGAGCACGTAGTTTCCCAGATAATAACAGTTTCTATTCAAAGCTTTACAATTATCACACTTGTTCTGACACAATAGGAACTGCACCTCACAGTTTATCTATTTGACCTCTCTATTGTGTATAAAGTTATCAAAACTACAAATTAAAACAAATTACAAGAGGAAAGAACAATGATTTATATTTCTGTATATTTGCCATAATTTGGACAGTTGTTTTGTGTAACTTACGGGAAAATGCATAAAAATACCAAAGAAGCAGTCGTCCTTTCGAGGTGACATAGTATCGCGCGCAGTTGAATATAAATTTCCAGCCTCCATTTAGGCTAATTTTTGTCTGAGATTTTGTAACGTCTACTTCTTGTCTTCCGTAATGCCCTTACCGGAACACGCAAGGCTACAAAATATAAGTGTGCCAGTGTGAAAATAGTTCAAGACTTGTTACTGAAATCTGTCGCCAATATTATGGTCCAATATCGCTGAGGGTCCGCTTAGACAGAAAGGAAGAACCAAACTAAATATGACGAAGAAGAACCAAAAATATGACGAGGAAGAACCAAATATATGACGTCATTTTTTTATTTAGCAGAACAACCATTTTGTTTTGTGTCTTCCACTAACTCCACAAAAGGCATGTTTATATTGCTTCAGTTGGCGAACTACTCAGTATGGTTGTTTAGGAATTAAACGCTTAACTCTTTTGACGTTTGCGTTCCCGGAAAATTGCTGAAAATCAATTACGTATTTAGCCATTTTACAGGATGTTGCTCTTTGTACAATGAATCCGCAAGAGCTAAAAGGAACAGCTAAAACAGGAATTTTCACGTTTCTGTTTATCATGTTGCATTCCTCTCATCAAAAAAATCTGAGACTTAATGCAACTGTTCTACCAATGCGTCGATTAATATAAAGATAATTACAAACTTATAGATAGAGAGAAAGCTACCTGACTATTTTAAATATAATTTCTTCTATAGCGCTAACACTGAAATAACCGCAGTTTTAGATAATTGGGAAGGTTGTCTCGACCACGGTTTAGGTTGTGGTAGATTACACAGCTTAAAGGCCCAGAGCAGACTAGCGCATTTACAAAAATATCAGTTTCCGTCTCAAACGAAGCAAAATAATTTCGCCCACAATAGCGCTTTTGTTTTGTTTATACCCGTCCAGAGTAATGCGCTATCATTTGAAACGAATACTCTTTGATGCGTTTTCGCCCATCGTCCACACTGAAAAAAACATCCGGAAACGCTGATCGAAAGAAAGTATTTCACGCTTTATTCCTCACCGTTTTCACTTGTCCGCAGAAGAAACAGAGTGTTTTCAGAATAATGCGTTTTGTGGAGACTCCACTTTTGAAACAATTTTCAAACGGGCGTTTTAGTGTGGAACGCATCAAAAAGAACGCGTTTTCAAAAAAACGCATTAGTGTGCTCTTGGCCATGGAACTCGGATGAAACCACCGGCTTTACTGCACACTGACTTCAACGGAAATAGGCATACTCTGAATAAAAACAAATATGTCCCTTATCACATGCTGTCGGCGTCATGTGATTCCATAGCAACTCGAGTTGAATTGAAGAAATTATTGACGGAATTAACGAAAAATCATTTTACTTGGGGAACCCAAATGCGCGAGAAAACTGAATTCAAGTTTCAGTACTCAAAAGGAAGAAAATGCATGACAAGATTGTTTTCTTGGAATAGCAATACAATTCAATTTTTATTGCGGAAAAAAAACTGCTAAGCCAGGTCCAATAATAAGCCATCGAAAGGTTTTTTTGGAATCATTACCAAGGACCTAAATATTTCACGACGTATTAGTCATCTTTTTCAGC